TACGCGACTGGTAAAAAATAAAAAAACTGTTCTTAGTTCATTTCAAGCATCTATAAAGCTTGAATTTTTTTGTTTGGATTAAAAAGATGTAAATGGAGTATTCATTGATAAAAGCTTATAATTTTTTGAATTTGATCATTCTTGCATAACAATGGCTAATTGAAATTTCGACTCGGCAAGCTTCTTTCTCGTCGGATTATTTCTTGATAATACATTAAACTGATATATTTCAACATGTCATATTTATCTGTATGTGTTATATATGCTTCTTTTATGCTCTATATATGTTTTATATATATTCTATATATGCTCTATATATACTATTTGATTAGCCACTTTATATATACTATATGATATACTTTATAATTTGTTATATCGTATTATGTACGACATACTATCTTTCCGGATATATTTTCTTATGCATACGCATTTATTATTGACAAGACGACAAATTAAATTTCGACAAATTAAAGATAACAAATTAAATTATTAAGTTGAGACGAACCGAAATTTTTCGATTTCCCACTAAATTATTAAGCCGAGATTCGGACCTGAGTGTTTTAAGATTCTGCTAAACTATTAAGCCGAAATTCGAACCGATATGTTTTGAGGTTCCGTTAAATTATTAAGTCGAGATTCAACCGAAGTGTTTTGTGTTTCGCTAAATTATTAAGCCGAGATTCGAACCGAAATGTTTTGAGTCTTCGCTAATTTATTAAGCCGAGTTAAGTCTGGGATAATTTTTTAAAGTTTCTTAGAGAAATTTTCGCGTTTGCAAAGGTATATTCTCGAAAATGACGTGGTGTGCGTATTTCGCTCAGAATCGTCTCTTGGATGATAATGTGCATTAATGTCACTCTACTCCTTCAGTAACACGCCCAGAATCTTGAAAATAATTTTCCAATAGCCCAAAGTCGCGTTCATAACGTTAGGTCCAATTTAGCGTCGTAGAAATGTTAGATTATGTTCTCGCCCACTGGCCGAAAGTAGGTCATGTTACTGCAGGTCATATAGTGTTAGCATGTAGCGCACATTCTGAGATAATATTATACAGTCTTTTATTCAATTTTCACGTTCGCAAAGATGTATTTTCGAAAATGAAGTTGTGAAGTTTGACTATTTCGCTTCCACCGTTTTCTCATCATAAATATACAAACCGTAATGAATACGTAAAGCATATGGCCAACATACCCCAAAGGCTACCTAAATCCGGTCTCTTCTAAATGTGCTTAAAACGTTGCTTTTCTTTCAATTATACTTTCACTCATATTTTTTTTTCTTACCAATATTTTTCTCAGAGCGCGTAATAAATCTATCCCTCTTTTTTCCTCTACCTCTATCTTTCGCGGGACAGAAAGAGAAACTTCGGGAGTCATCGGCGCATCGCGATAATTTGTTTAATTCGCTGCGAATGCGCGCGTCTACTGCATGTTGCCGCCGGGGGGATAAGCTAACGGTTGCATTACGTATCGGCGCGGTCATTGTTGACACACTGAGCGGCTAATGGGAGTGGTTTTGCAACAATAGACAATCTAGTCGGCTGTGCGCTTGCGACGACTATAACGACCGTTGCTGTAATAATCGCCGGTGTGGTTAATGAGTGCGCGCGACTGCGCCAGTGGTTATAGACGAGGTTGTGCGCGCGCGGGGGAATATCTACGTCGGGGTTGGATATATTCCCACCAGAACACCTCTCGAGCGAAGCGACGCGTAAAGCGACTCGTAGATACGAGTCGCTTTACGCGCAAAAACTGTCGCGAGATAGTTTTCCAGCGGACTCTTCCCGCCGGCTGTCCTCCTCTGCTGCTGTTCCTCCCCCAGTTCCTCTCCTCTCCCTCTAACTCCTCCACCCGCCGCCGCCGGCGGCGACCTCGTCGCCGGATTCAGCCGGGAAACTTTCTTTCGCGACGTCGCGAGAATCGCAGAAGCAATTTATTATACGCCGGGACGATTTTTACGGCGCAGCGCGCACACCGCCGCGGCGGCAGGAAGCACCGGCGACGACGGCTCTTATCGCGCGCTTGCCATTATTTGCCTGCAGCGGGAAAGTTGCGTTTGTCGAGTGATTTCCGGCAGTAAATATTCATAGACGTTGCGGTTGCTCGGCCGCGCGCGTTTCGGTGTGTTCCTTAAGGGAAAACAGCGGACTCGAGGTCGTCCGTCCTCCGTTCTCGCGATGTTTCGTCAGATGATGATTTCACGAGGGGATTCCTCGGGGTATTTCGCGAGAGGAGAAATGTCTACCGCGCACAAAACATTTCTTAAAAGGGTGCTGAATAATAAGTGGATTCGAAAAATTCGAAAATAAAAAACGAAAAACGAATTCGAAAAATATCGATAACACAGTCACTCACACAATCACACAATCAATTATCTTTTTGTATTTTTACATATTTTTTGTACTTACATAATATATAAATGTGTGTCGCTTTGTTTATATTCAGCGAAAAATCTAACCATGCATATGTAGGAAAATCTTTCTGCAAACTTTTCCAGTATTCTTTTGAATTTAGATACGAATGTACGGCAATGTTTTTCAAAATTTTTCTGTTTGGAGCATCCATACTTTCGGTATGTACAAGGCACAACAAAATTCGGGCATTCTAATCGCAATCTATGCTGTATACGAGAATCTTAAGACAATCCTACGCGAAGCGTCTCACTGTTTTATTAATGGACACCGCTCTCTCGCCGCTTCAAAACAATGTATATTTTTGCCCCACGTGTCGCGTGCGACACTTGGGGCGTCCCGATTTGACTCGTAGGCGCACGACATCGGTCATTAAACAAAATTATCAGCGCCGAGGAGAGAAACAGGCGGATCTCGACGCGGGATAACGCGAGATGCATGCGCGCCCCGGCGTCTAACAATTTTACGCGCGATCGGCGTCACACGGCCGCTTTTATA